AAGACCTGTCCGCGCACTACGCCATACGCAGCATCACAAAGCAGCGCGAATGAGGTTTGCACTGGACCACAGAGATTGGCAACTTCGTCACTGGACGCCTGTTCTGTTTACAGACGAGTCCAGATTTCGTTTAACTCGTTGCGACGGTCGATTACGTGTATATAGACGTCCTGGTGAACGTTACGCAGCCGCTACTATACAGGAAGTGGATAGATTTGGTCGGGGATCTGTTATGGTTTGAGCTGGAATCAGTATAGACAACACAACTGTGTTGTTGTTCCTGGTAGACTAAATGCCATGAATTACATCGAAAACATCTTGGAGGACCATGTCGTGCCTGTTTCATATGGGGTTGGTCAAAATTTCAGTCTAATGCAGGACAATGCAAAGCCACATACTGCCGGTATCACCAGAAACTTTTTGCAAGAACGTGGAAAGTCCTGACCTGAATCCTATTGAACACACCCTATTCAATTGAAATAGCAAAATAGTAGTAGCTAACCATGGCAACCAACAGTTTCAGATATCAAAGATTAATCATTGTCACAGGCCCACTTTTACCACCTCTTGATAAATGTATCCGATAGATAAATCCAGCTCTTAGCCAATGAGGGTGCTTAAAACCGCCGTAACCATGGCAACTATCCTCTAGATAGTTTATCAGGAGGATGGTAAAAGTGGGCCTTAATAAAGTATCTGAAACAACTGGTTGCCATGGTTACGTGTGGCTACTGCTATTTTTCTACCTCCAATGAATGGGAAATCATGAAACTTTAAGACAATATTTCTCGAAAATTTTGTTATGTAGCTAATATTAATTTTGGCGGTACCAAATTCAGAAAAAAATCCTCTTTTATATTCCATAATAAAAATGGGGGATTGTTACTTGAAAAAAATAGCGATGACGTCATAACTTGTTTAAAAATGGCGGAAAAAATGTTAAATCTATACCAAAAAATTGCAAAACATGTAAATTCCATTTTTTCCCTAGTTTAAACGTAAAACACCTAGAACAATTTGAATCAGCAAAGTTTGAGTTATTTTAGATCGTTATATGTTTTTTAATTGTTGTTGTGTAACTTAAAACCGCTGACGCAAGAATTACTGACTGAAACTTCCAAAAACTTTAATTTTCAAAGAGTAAAGTGTCCTTTATAGAGTTGTTGTACTGCAAATATTAGCTACTCCAGATTGCTTTAGGTACAATAAGTATATATTTGTAATATGGAATTGAAAATAGAAAAACTATGGTCAACTAGCCATTTTGGCAGCCAAACTTATTTTTAGTTATAACTTCATAATGATGTATCCCATAATTTTGATTTTCTAGAACAATAACTAGAAAAAACCCGTACAAAAACCCGGTTTTTGGTTTTTCCCGCCGAGTTTTTATTTTTTCTATTTGCCGCTTTGGAACAATGTAGAACAACTCCAGAATAATCTAGAACAATGAAAAATTTAAAAATCGAAAAATGGGGGGCTAACTTCCCGCACTCAATGTATTTGCTAAATAATTGGGCATAATAATTTTTTTTTCTCTTTGCTGATATGGTCTATGATAGTTTCATAAAAACTAGTGGTTGTGGTCTGAATAGAACGAGTGGTTTCACCTGGTATAAAGTCCTAAAAAATTAAATTAAAAGAAAGTTGTTTTTGTTACTCGATCGAGGAGTAACAAAGACACTAAAAAGTTCGAATTTAGAACGGGTATTGTAAACGTATTTGTTATGCACACCGCTTCTGTGTCGTCTACGAACTTGCAGACACCTCGGGATACCTCCAAAAATCCTATGGGGTTTTATTGATTACACAGAGCTCCCTTTTTGTATTTGTTCGGACACACAACAGCATTCGTAGTCCACTGATTCTTATTTCGTGTTTCAAGCATTTTTGATAATGATTTCGAGCATATTTACAGAATTCTGTTTGTTACAATAAAATATTACATTGGATTAATAAAATTGTAAACAAACTGCTAATTTAATACTTTAAAACGTATGTACGAAATTTTGGTTTTATGTTTATTCAGTTAAGCACAAAGTTGGATGTTCATTGGAGCGAGAGAAAATAAAATTTCGCTTTTTTTCTGCATGTACATATGCTCAGGGAGTACATCGTTAAAATTTTAATTAGAACCCTCGCCACAATAAACGTCGCCAGTTACTGCGACGCTAACGGTCGAAGGAAAAAGGAAAACTCAGCAATATACTATATTCTCTACTTTCAGTGAATTATCAAGCTCTGGTTGCGGTATACTTTACACAGTGCTACATGTAACAAAATCGTTTTGACAAAACCTAATTATGTAAAATAAAATTTTTGTTATACACCAATATGAAGCTTTCGTATATAATTTACCAATCTAAAGTTAGATCCGTCGAATCCTACAATAAATATTCAATCAGAGTTGGACCGATATTCAAATCCCGTATCAGGCGTACCAACTAATATAAATCCCGTGAACTGGGATTCGGCTTTACTTCTCCTTCTATCCCATGGGAAACGAAATGCTCCTCCGATATCCCACGTACGGAATCCGAACGTATGATTTCATTGTGTCCGAGCCCCATTGTCAGAAGTTATGTGTTTCATCAGGAGGCAAGAAGCGCGGCGTGCTCTCCTTCTTTTCTACACGTCCGTCTTCTCTTCTTCTCAAAAGCAATCTCTTTCGTGAGCTTATATCATATTTTCGCCCCGGAAAACTGTACACTTTCAACCGACCCGTTTCTTTTGATTTATTTGAGTATACATCGCGCAAACAAATAACATACAACTGATGTCCTATAATAATGTGTGAAACAACAACATGTTGACGTCAAATTTGACCGCAGTAAATAGACGCTGATATGGGGGAAATTATCGTTCTGTAGCGGTAGCGGTAATGGTAGTGAATTTTTACGCATGTAACGCGTACCGCGGCTCAGTGAACTGTTTATTTTCCACCGCATTAGCTCCAACTTCTAATGATAATTACACGGGAAATGTTTACTTTTGGCCTCTGACGGCCTGGTAAACAACCCGGTAATCGATTGGCTCTTAACACGCGTGAATTGGTGCTTGCACATACGTTCATTAATCATTCGATGTGAATCTAAATTTATCTTTTAACAATTATCGTCAATTTTTAACAATACGTTCTAACTCTATATACTATATTTTGCTAATAATAAAAGGTTCGTCTGCATAGTGCGAGATGCGACTACTCCTCTGTGAAAGCGTTAAACCGGGATCCAGTCTCGGGAATTTGTGAATTCCTGCGGCGGCATAAACCCGCCCTTTGTGCCGTGAGGGCTTACGGTCTTTCCCGGCGCTTTCAATTTCATGTATTTTATACGGTTGGCCCCCTTTCTCGAGGTCGGAGCGAAATGTGCCACACGTCCTTTTGCTATAGTTAAGTGCCTATACAGCCGACGTTATTTCCTAATTGCATTCACGATGAGACAACTTAAGAGGTTTTCCCCACAAGTGGAAAACAAACCATAAATTGATAAATTACCTTCAAAACGTTGAAGAGATTTAAAACAATTTTAATTCTTTTATTAAACAAATCAATCAATTAACCTGTTTATAAAAATGATATAGAGAAATAAATCGTGAAAGAGTAATTCTTTTTAATTAAAAATCCTGCTATTGGAACTGTCTAGTAATGGCAATAGAGTGGTCGAACCTCCCTAAAGTCAATAGCATCTGGTACGTATAGCGAAAATATCGCAACTGGCCGACAACTGTAAGTGAGATGGTAGCGAAACCGAGTGTTTTTAATTGCCAACGATAAAATTCGCGGAAAGGAGCACGTTAAAATAGGAGCCGTGGCCCCGACGACGATGAAATTAAACCACGTCATCAGCCCCCACAGTTAGGGAGCCCCTCCAAGGGGGGTCAACGGCGATTTTATAGGGCACCTCGTTTGCCTGACGGTCAGATTACAGCCATCGGTTTTAATTAGTGCGACGTCTTTAAAAATTTAATCACCATGATGGCTCCTCTGTAAAATTATTTTTTCTTAGAAAACTTTGCATATACTTTACATTTAGTGTAACAGTCCCTTTGATATTTTCTTACCTATACATATGTGAAATTATGTAATCTTATCTTTATCTTATTAGATGTTGTACAATTTAAGTTTCCAAAAGACTCACCATTTCTAAATAAACAACTACACCTATTACGTAATAAAATTTAAATAACTCTCTCCGCAAAGAAGCTTTAGACGAGCAAAAACCAAGTGTATAGCTGATCGTATCTTTACACTCCACCCCAATAAGGACATATTCCATCCTAGAAAACTCCTCCTGTGCCAAGGTAATGGTTTAAGCGGTTTTAACCGCCGCTCATTTTGTATAAAGCCGTCTCGGCCTAATTGAATGTTTACGCCCCAAGGATAATATCTATTTTCTAGCCAGCATTTCCGCGTACCTCGAGTCATTATTAAGGCAATTCGTAAATGGTGCTATTACGGTTGTCTTCTAATTTCATTAAGCGGCGACGGGTTTATGTGTTCTCCAATAAGAGGAGGAAAAAAAGTCTTATTCCATTTTGAAAATATCGAACCATTTCTACAGACCAATTTGTAAGTCGGCGTCGTCTTCCCGTTCCCATCACGACGTCGAGGGGCGCTTTATTGGTAACATTATTAGAGAAAGTGGCGACGGTTTTGGTTGTCGTTTTCGAAACGGCTGCAACGTTATCGTAAGCGTGACGCGATGAAACGAGAGAAAAGAAAATTCTAATGCGTCGTAAAAACGACGGCGTCGCTTGCGCCGGATTTGTTTACGACGCTCTCGCCGTTGAAGGCTTAATTAAAACTGGTTGCGCGGTTTATTGAACGGGCAAGCTGACAGGTAAGAGCGCCGAAATAGGAAATTAAACGCCGCCGGCGAGTACGCGTATTTCAACGTTGCCGTGTCGTTTTCCACGACAATTGCGCCAGTTTTATCCCGAAACAAACGGCAAACAAAGTAACGGCAACGTAAAGTTTGCTGGAAGATTCATAAACTTACCATCAAGAACGATATGACTCCGAACTGCATTTTCCGTTTACTTTCGAATACAATTTCCTTGAAACCAACGGGTACTAATTGTGAGAATAATGTAACTCACAAACCATCCCTGAAATTAAATCAAACAGAAACATAATTAAAACTTTGACAGAAACAGGAATACAAAAACTTGTACAGTTAAATACAAAAACATGAATTTTTACTAAAATACTATAAAACCTCGATATACCGGCGAGACGATAGCAACAAACCGCTCAGCAACAAACTTTTTCCCTTATATTTCCACCTATTTCTCGGACCCATATCTTCGTTATCTAGAAATATACCTTGTTCAGAAAACAAGTTCGAGACGTGCGGCTAAACTCGAATGTTTCTAGTTCTAGATTTAGTGTTAGCTCTAGTTTTGCACGAAGAACTAGAATCATTCGGGTTTAGCCGTCTTGACAGAGGTGCGGCTAAACCCGAAAGTTTCAAGTTCTAGGTCTAGTGTTAGTTCTAGTGATAGTGTTAGTTCTAATTTTAGTTTTACGTTTAGAAACATGTTAAACTGTTCAAACCGGAAAGATTATTTCATGTGACACTTATTTTATCCGAATCTAGAAGATTTTGAGCGATTTTAGACTCGAATTGTGTTTTGATGGTTTTGAATCTGGTAACGTTACCAACCTTTGCATTTTAACTCAGTTTATCAATTTAAAAAACGCGTAAGCGACGTGCGTCGCACACCGTTGGAAAAATCAGAAAATTTTCCATGAGACGAACATAGTCTTAGAGTTTTCTCCCTGTTCAAAAAAAAGAAAGTTGTTCACCCCAACATGGTTTAGTCGCGGCGAAAATTCGTGGTTTTAGGTAAATTTTAGCAAAGAAACTGTTTGTGCAAACGCGTGATTGAAGTGTGTCATACACCGTTAGAAAGAGCAGAAAATTTCCCATATTACAATTTCCCAGATGAATATAGTTCTAGAGTTTTCTCTCCGTGAGATAAGAGAGTTATTGACCCAAGCGTGGTTTAGCCGCTGCAACAATTCGTGGTTTAGGTAATTCTTAATCAGAAAAAAGAATTGTGCAAACGTGAGATCACGGTGTGTCATACACCAGTGGAAAGAGCAGGAAATTTCCCATAAACTGAATATAGTTGTAGAGTTTTCTCCCTGTCAAATAGGAAAGTTATTAGTGCAAGAAATATTTGCGTGTTTTCATCGCTAGGAGCTTTTTCAGGTGCGTTTTTCTTACAGACGCTGATAGATATTGGCGGAATAAGAAAACTCGGAATAAGATAGTCCAAGGTCAGCTCTTTTCGATGTGTAAACCGTTTGTCAAATTTCCATCTGATAACGGCTGTACAAGGCCGTGAAGTTTGGTAACTTTGAGGTAATTTGAATGCAGTGCAACGTTTCTTATTTTTTTTGCTCTTATTATCAACATATCGGTGGACTCGGTTTAAGATAGAGAAAAGACCAAGCTTTCCAACCATGTGCTTAATTTTTCGCTATCTGTCTAGATAACGAAGATATGGGCCCGAGAAGTAGGTGAAAATATAAGGGAAAAAGTCGATTGCCCTTGTTCGGAAAATGCCCACTGAGTTTGTCTAAAGAGGACCAAACTATCGTGGAAGTCACACCTAGATAATAGAGTAAAGAAAGCTAGTGTCGCATTTGGCCAGTGCCGAAGGGCGATTGAGAAGACATGGGGTTTGTCACCCAAATCTGCCCTCTGGGTCTATACGGCTGTGATACGACCTATGCTCACTTATGGTGCAGTAGTATGGTGGTCTAAAACCTTACAGGTTACCGCCACTACCGCACTAAATAGAATACAGAGACTTGCGTGTATGTATGTTACCGGTGCCATGAGGACCCCCACTGCGGCCATGGAAAACATGTTAAACTTGCCACCTCTACATTTATATATACAGGAGGTGGCGCTGATTACCATGTTGCGACTACGGGAAGTAGGACTTTTCAAGGGAGAGGAAACCGGAGGAAGTGCAGCACTTTGGAGGGAGGCGTTGACAAACACACCTCTATTGGAATGCTGCACGGACTATATACCGGATAAATTCACCTTTTCAAGAAAATACCTCACCCATTGTGGTTCCACAGAAGTAGATGAAAATAACCCTCTTAAAATCTACACTGATGGTTCGTGTAGACGGACTGGTGCAGGAGCGGAAGTATTTTCTAACGACTTACAGCTCCATCTCTTCATATAACTTGGACAACGCATCACCGTCAAGCAGGCGGAATTAGTCGCTATAAAATTTGCTGCTGACTACATTGTCAGCTCCAATTACAGAGGTAAGATCTTTACAATCTTTACCGACAGTAGACAATCTGTTATAGCTCTAAGCAAGGATAAATTTATCTCTGCGCTGATTATGGGTTATCATTTGGCGCTTCAAGAGGCGGCAACACTAAACAGTGTCACACTGCAGTGGATAAAGGGACACTCGACTCACTCGGGGAATAAGCACGCCGATAGGCTGGCAAAAAGGGCTGCTGGAAAAGTGCCTTGATCCCCTTTGCCGACAGTTGTCCCTTCTAGGTTTTCCTAGCACAGTCACTAGAACTACAATCATTCGGGTTTAGTCGTTTTGAGAGACGGGTGGCTAAACCCCAATGTTTCTAGTTTTAGGTCTAGTGTTAGTTCTAGTTTTGCACTAACACACTGTCATTAGAACTAACACAAGACCAAGAACTAAAATCATTCGGGTTTAGCCGCACGTCGCTCAAGACGGCTAAACCCGAATGTTTCTAGTTCTAGGTCTAGTGTTAGTTCAAGTTTTAGTTCAATAAAAATATAAAATAATCTAGTGCTGAATACCAATTAAAACTAAAACAGTCCTTGATTTATACATATCATATTTATCATATTTTATCAAATAGGTATTTCCTAAAATTTAATTTAATCTCTAAATAGATACTCCTGTTTAATTAAATATTATTTGTAAGCTCGTAGAATTTAGCTAACTAAAATTGGCCACTAATTAGTTTAGAATATTAATTAGATTAATTAACATCCCAATTTCAATACGTGAAGTTTCATTATTTCGACCACAAGACTGTAATAGACGTAAATGTATACTTTAGTAAATGTAATTTTAATTATAACTTGCATCGCAAAATTTTTGTGGAAAATTGAGGTGATCTTTAACCTCTGTGTACGTTTAATCTCTACTATAGACGTGTAACCTCTATATACGTTTACGATAGTGTAAAACAGGCTGGACACAAGAAAGAGGAACCTTATCGAAAATTCTATTACTGGAATTAGGCTTTGCTTGAATAAATTACGAAGTTTTATAATGAACGTGGAAAACGGGAAGCGCACCTATGTGTTTGGGATTAAACTGCTCGCACGAACGGAGGTGGTTGTACTGAGTCGGGGCGATTTTTCCTTAAATTATTTAAAGCGTTTATCTCGGGCTTTCCCGTTCGGCGAGAAGATATACGTGTACAATTGCACTTAAAGTAGTATAAAACTTTAATTTTAACCGAATAAAACGAAACGTCGTTTTTAATTTTAAACTTGCTGCAACTGCAAATTGGTTTTATACGGTATGATAGATGGAGGAGCTTTCTTGAGAAGCCGAAGAATAAAATTAAATGGTGAAAAATAAAACGAACGTAACTAAAAGCTAATTCCCAATTAACGTGGTCTTGCTTTCTGCATTTGCAAGTCGAGTTCTGTGTCAGGTTCGTGAAAAATTGATCATAACCTTTTAGGTCAAAGGTGCTCGGTGCTGTAGCATAAATTACCATACCTTACGGTACAAAAGCACGCATATGAAGCACAAAGATTTACTACCAACACAAAGAGCCCTAATAAAGTTCCTGTTTACTTTACACAAAAATGTATATTGTAAAATATGATGTGTATAGGGTTTTACGTTAAGATATTTTATAAAAGTTTAATTAATATTAATGTCGATTTTCTATTTCTAGACTCTGTTAATATATTTAGTTATCTTGACAAAGGATTATACTTGATGGACTGTGTGCCAAATTGCCCTTGACTAACACGATGTGTTAACCAGGCCCCTATTTGTCACCGAGCACATTGGCCGAAGACCCAGAAGACATCCCGGACGCAATGAATTAGGAATTTAGGGGCACAGCGAACTCGGTGATTGATCACCGAAAGATTTACCAATCCGAAATACTACTGAGGTATTTTATCCCCATCAGAATATGCAACATGCGACCACCCCTCAATTATTATCGGACTCGTTCATTGTCGCAGTATCGAATTAAAAGTTTTTGATTGGTCTCGTGGGCTGAGACTAAAACTTTTTCAATCTCCCTATGGGAGAGTAAACCCCCTCAATCGGTTCTAACTTGATTTGAAAACGCTCTCTTTTCCTCCACGTTACTATGCAAATCTTTGAACCGGGTAATTATGCGCGGTTTGCCCTTAGTATTACTGCTTATAAATATTTAAGGAAAAGTTTGGAGTCGGAGGTTGTTGTGAGATTCTAGAATTGCTGTAGTTGTTGTGTATTCAGTGTTTAGTTTGAATTGATTTCAATGGCATATTTAGTTGTTCGAATAATAAATGGAACATTTCGAAATATATAATTTTACATTATTAAATTCATAATATTAGCAAAAATCGTTATTATTACTACCAACATAAATTAAATCCAATTTAAAAGGTTTTTTGCATAAACTTTTCATTAGGGGAAAAGTCAATGTAAAGTTTTTCTTAAATCTGGTTCAAAAGTGCTAACTTAAAGAGTAAGTAGGTGCAGCTACAGCAGCTTACAGACCTTGTAATCTTTAAAAGTTTACATCGCGGCGGGAGATTGCAAATTACGAGGGCAGACCATCTTCCTCTCTCTGCGTATCTATGTTGGTGGGCTCAGGAATGCGAGTCCGCGAAAGCGTAAGAGAGAGAAATTGTGTACATCCGCCGGCAGAAAACACAAGAGGAAGGGCGTCGAGGCGCACCAACGACGACGAGCGGCATAAAGTAATTTGAATAACCCTGTTTCGAGTTGGAAATTTCCTCGCAGGAAATTCAATTTCACCGCATGCAGCCTTATGACTGCGTTTACTCACGACTTTTCTTTTTAACGCCTGCCCTTTACAGAACGATGGGAATTCTGTG